GGGGAAGGGAGAGGGAGAGGAGAGGAGAGGTTAAAAAACTAAAGGTCATGCAACGTGAACCTGGCGACCTGAGAGGGGAGGAAGCAGGGACATGCTTTGAAAGTAACATCCTGCTGCTGTACAGGAAACCGGGCAGTTGTGCAGCTCACCGGCTCCGTTCTGCCCCTGAGATGAAGATCTCCAGCTGCCACTGCAGACCCGCCTGGCTCCGTGGCACAGCACGGGGGGTCCCACACAGCCTGGAGCAGCCTTCCTCCAGGGCAGAGCCAGCTGCCTGGCTGTGACCCTGGTGGGACATCGGTTCTTCTGGTGGGGACACGCATGTCCTTATGGGGATATGGCTCTCCTGGTGAGGACACTGATGTCCTGGTGAGGGTGCTGCTCTCCTGGTGGGAATGCTACTCCCCTGGTGGGCACATGTCTCTGTTGGTGAGGATAGTACTCTCCTGGTGAGGATATTGCTCTTCTGGTGAGGAAACTGCTCTTCTGGTAGGTCCACAGCTGTCCTGGTGGGGACATTTTTCTGCTGGTGGGGATACTGCTTTGCTGAAGGGGATGTGGCTTTGCTGGGTGGGGATGCTGCATTTCTGGGTGGGTATGACTCCTCTGATGGGGACATTTTTCTCACGGTGGGGACATAAGCTCTCCTGGTGTGGGGACTTAGGCTCTCCCGCTACAGGGACACTGCCCACGTGGTGGGACATGGTTCTGGTGAAGCTGTGGTAGCAAGCCCTTGGACCTACTGCCCCACTGCTCCTTGTGCTCATGCTGGTGGGGGTGGGTTGGACTGGGGGAGCAGGAGGAGGTACAGCAGGCAGGACTGTGGTGCCAGCTTGGGGGCAGCCAGATCCACAGCCCCGGGCCCCTGGAGCAGAGCAGGGAGGGCGAGGTGGGGGGCAGCGGGGGGCACAGCTGCCCGTGGCAGCTAAGCAGGGCTGGGCCGGGGGCCAGAGGTGCTCCTGACCTGGTTCTTCCCCCAAACCTCGTCCCCCCGTTGCAGGCAGGGTGTCGGGGCTCTCGCCATGGGGGTGCGTGGCAGCAAGAACTGTGCCCCAAGCAGAGGCAGCTCCCAGGGCACCCTTGGGGACATGCTGCTCACCGCCCTGGAAGACCTCTCCAAGGAGGATTTTAAAAGGTTTCGGGGCGCACTGGCATACGGAGCAGACCTGCAGGGCAGGGGCTGCATTCCCTGGGGGCGTCTGGACGAAGCCGACCGGACGGACACGAGGAACCTGATGCTGGGTTTCTATGGCGAGGAGGCCGCCGTGGACGTGGCGATTGCCGTCTTCAAGCGCATCCAGCTCCTCAACGCTGCCACCCGCCTCTGGGAAAGCAGAGAGAAAGGTGGGAATGCAGAAAGGCTCCCTGCTGTGTGTGGCATCCTGTGGGGTCCCAGGCACCCTGGAGACTGTGTCTGGCAGACCCTGTGTCTGGGGCCAGGAGGGTGCTACAGAAAGGGCGATGGGTTGGGGGTCCCAGTGGCAGGGTGTGGGGGGCTCCTCCAGGCAGGAGGGGATAGAAGAAGTTCTGGCTGTGTCAGGGGTTCAGTGATGCTGCCCACTAACGTCCCTGTCTCCTCCAGCCCGGGGGTCTGCTCCTCTGGAGGACTCATCACCAGCAGGTAGGTGCCAGCGGTGAGAAGCGCAGGGGGCTCTGCTGCTGCTCGCCCCGCAGTCCACAGCCACATGAGGTGGCCTCCTGCCCTTCCAGATCTCCAGAAGAATTACAAAAAAGCCATACGCCAGGCATACAGCCGCATGAAGGACCAGAACTCCCGCGTGGGTGACAACGTGAGCCTCAACACCAGGTACTTGAAGCTGGTGATCGTCAACAAGCACCGTGATGAAGAGCAACGGGAGCATGAGATCGTGGCCATGGGACGGAGGCACGCGGAGATCATGAAGGAACAAGCCAGCTCCTCCATTGCTGTGGCTGACCTCTTCAAACCTGGCCCCGACGGCTGGACCCCCAAGGTGGTTGTGCTCCTGGGAGCCGCAGGTGTGGGCAAGACGATGACAGCCAGGAAGATCATGCTGGACTGGGCGTCCGACAAGTTGTTTGGAGAGTTTGACTACGTCTTCTACATTCACTGCCGGGAGGGCAACCTCCTCACCAGCCAGGCCAGCATGGTCGACCTCATCACCTGGTGCTGTCCTGGCAGCTCTCTGCCGCTCGACGAGATGCTGAGGCAGCAGGAGAGGCTTCTGTTCGTCATCGACGGCTTCGACGAGCTCCGCTTCTCCTTTGACCGGCCCCAGTCTGAGCTGTGCTCCCATCCCCAGGAGCAGAGGCCAGTGGAAATCACCCTGAGCAGCCTCTTCCGCAGAAGGCTCCTGCCTGACAGCTCCCTGCTCATCACCACACGTCCAGCCGCCCTGCAGAAACTGGGCAACTGCCTGGAGTGTGAGCGCTACGCTGAAATCCTGGGCTTCTCAGAGGCAGAGAGGAAGGAGTATTTCCACAGGTTTTTTGGAAATGAGGAGCAGGCAGCTGTTGCCTTCCAGTTTGTCAGAGGGAACGACTGCACTGTCATGAAGCAGCAGCTTGGCCGCAAAGGGGGTCTCGCCCAGAGCCCGAAGACAACGACGGGGATCTACATCCTCTACCTTTCAGCCCTGCTCCGGTCTCTGAGCGGCCGGGTGAAGCGTGACATCCCCAGCATGCTCAGGAGGCTGTGCTGCTTGGCAGCCAATGGCATCTGGAAGCAGAAAGTCTTTTTCAATGACCAGGAGGTGCAGGGGTATGAGCTGGATCAGAGAGAAGCCCTCCCGATCCTCCTCAATGAACACCTCTTCCAGAAGGACATCTCCTGCGTCAGCACCTACAGCTTCATCCACCTCAGCTTCCAGGAGTTTTTTGCAGCACTTTTCTACTTGCTGGAAGATGAAGGGGAGGTGCAGGAACACCCCGCGGGTCCCACCAGGGACGTGAGGGAGCTGCTGGAGAGCTACGGCAACTCCAGGAACTACTTCATGCTGACTGTGCGGTTCCTCTTTGGTCTCTTAAACGAGGAGCGCAGGAGGGAGCTGGAGGAGGAGATGGGGTGTAAAATCGCGCCCAAGATCACGGAAGAATTGCTGATGTGGCTTCAAACCAGACAGAAGACAGCCCTGGCTCTTCTGATGGAGGAGACGGCGCTGATCCGCGAGCTGGAGGTCTGCCACTGCCTGTATGAGCTCCAGGACGAGCGCTTTGTGCTGACCGCCTTGGATCCTTTCACCGGCGTATACCTACGAGGGCTCAACCTCAACCACTTTGATCAGATGGTCCTTTCCTTCAGCGTGAAGAACTTCCCCAGGCTGGAGTCGCTTGACCTGGGGCACTGCTCCTTCCTGCAGCACGAGCCTGAGGAGCAGGAGGGGCCGCAGCCGGCCAAGCAGCCGCGTCGGTGCGTGGGGTCCTGAGCCGCAACGCGGAGAGTCCCCGAGAGCCACAGAGCTGTGGGACCCCGGCACGTCGGGAAGGGGGCACGGGGGACCTTGGGACACAGCCAGTGGCCATGGAGAGATATGGGAAAAGGGATCAGAATAGGGATAGATACGGGAAAAGGGATTAGAATAGGAATAGGAATGGAATAGGAATAGGAATAGACTAGACTAGACAGGAACAGAGATAGGAATAGGAAAGGAGAGGAATAGACCAGGATAAGAATACATGTAGAAGTAGGAACAGAAATAATAACTGGAATGGGAATAGGAGGAGGAATTGGATGCATCTCTTTGTTTTCAGGGAAAAACAGCAAGAGGAGGGGCAGAGGTCACCCATCCACATGCTTTGTCAAGCCTTGGAGAAATCAGGCTGTAAATTGAAGACTTTGAGGTACTTGGCTCTTCTCTGCTGGGTGAAACAGAGCAGGCAAAGCTCAGCCAGCCCAGCCGGGTCTCCTCACTGCACAGGGAGGACAACCATGTGCCACCACAGCTCGCTGCATGGTGGGACAGGCTCTTCTCCCACTTCTGGGAG